ATTTCTGGAACGAAGTATTCCTTAGACTGATGAAGCATTTCTCTCTCAAGAATTACATCATTCGAAAAAGATCTTTTAAAATACAATTATGTTCTGGACGTGTATTAGGTAGATGCATATCTTCCCCCTTTCAACATTCCTTTAGTAAAGACGGAAACTTGAAGTAATTGCTGCAGAGGGCTTCAATTTCTATACTCAGAGTTTTGTGTGCACATCTTAAAATCAGGGGAGGTTTGATTTCTGAAATATTGAAATAGACAAGGTTTTAACTATAGAATTCCACCATGATTAATGCAAAACAAGAGCTTTTTCTCCTTTTGCAATTAGTGCTTTGCAGATCTTTTGTAAAAACACAAATGGCCAGACTAGGTGAAACTCATTAACTGAAGAGTAGGATAAGTGTCTCGACGACCGAGGGGAGGACCAAGGACCGGCACAGGGTCTGAAGTGGAACAAAGCCTCCTCAAAGTTTAGCAGAGGCCACAGTAAACCTCGGTTTCAGAAATGCTAACTCTGCAGATGTGACATTTTCCTAAATGTGTTGGAGTTTTGCAACAATCTGTTCCAGTTGAGCCAGGGGAACCAAAACCCAGAATCAAAGCTACAGAGAGAACAGCGGGAGTTGCAGGTACTTTCTGTAACCTCCATGGGTTGGACATTGAAGTGTGTGTGAGAAGTGTGTGGGATTGTGAAGGGCGCCGGGGAAGGGTGTTTTACATATGGAGGAGTGGGGGGCGTAACCCAGTTGTCTTCTGTTTAAGACTTTGCTTTGAACCAAAATCTACTGGTCGGAACAAGTAGGTCAGTCAGACTCCGATGAACACAGATGTGTTCAAACTCCATTCTGCTAGCCACTGTTTGCTTTCAATTTACAGCAAGTCGGACTCGATCCTGTTCACTAACTGCAAGCACTGTCCATAGACGTGCTGTAAGCTGTATTGAATACTGATGGTTTAGAAAGAGTTTTAGAATAAATTTGTGAGCCAGAATGATAAAAAGACCTATGGACTGGGTTTTTAGATACGAATCTGTGCATGAGAAAACCATGGGCCGTGTGGTGGCAAACGTATTTCAGACGCAATGAAAACGTGGAGAACATTGCCGGCGGGTGGAGCAAACCTTGGGTATCACTTGAGTCCTGTCTTTTGAAACACCATGACTTGCTGTCCTCAAACCCAATTAGACGTTTGTTTATAAAAGTAGCTTTTCACTGCTAGTGAGACCTAGTAGCATCTGGGGAGGGGGGGAGTTTCAAAGAAGACCCCCAGCCTGGGAACTGCACCCACATCAGGTCAGGGATTAGCTCTCTCCAGTGGGAACTAACTTTGCAATTTTAACATCACACTCCTGTTATTTACATTTACAGGTAATAGAAGTTTCTGGGAGAGTTTTTTTGTGTTTCATTTGCTTTCAAATGTTTATCTGCAGTTGAATGAAATGCCTTTCTTTTTTAACTTCATGTAACCTCTTCTTTCAGTACTTGTTTAGGTGACCTCTAATAAAAGCTTGACCACTAACGTTGCCTAAATCTAAACTGTGCTATTTTTTGCTGTAGTGAATACTGTGCTATTCCCATTTCACATACAAAGCCCAACACGTGTTCTCTCTTGGTCCTCATTTCATAAACATGGTCCTAGGAAACAACCCTGGCGCAGGAGGAGCCCACCCACAGTGGGCCGCTGTGATCTCACTCACTCTCTGACCACCTTCCCGGTTGGAAATAGCCAACCCGCACATCGCCGGTAATAAGGCGTCTGTCGCGATCTCGGCTCCAGGACCCTTCTGGAGTGGGCGGGAGGCGGCAGACGAGGCTGGAGGCCACCACGCAGTCCGGGATAGGGGCTCTTGAAGGGCTCCTCAGGTCAGATTTCTAAGCATGCCTAGAGTCGGTAGTGCGCACTGCGCACCTAACCCAGCCGTCTCGGAGGAACGTTTCCGCTCTCGCCTTCCAGGTCGGTGCTTGCATTGCAGGGCCGCTGCCGAAACGTGGCAGGGTGAGGAGCCAAGGCACCGGGCATCCAGGAAGCGGAGGACGGCGCTGCAGCACGACCGAGGTGGGAGGCCTGAGGTTTCCACGCCCAGCTCGCTCCAGGCCGCCAGCCCGCGGGGTCCAGGCCGAGCGGCGGAGTGTGCAGCAAAGCGCAGGGGAGACTCAGGCCTGGCCCCACGTGCCCCGAGGGCCGAGCGAGAGGGAAACTGGACAGAGGATCTCGACGCTAAGAGGCAGTCCTCGGTGCTGGCAGGGGGGGCGCGCCGCCCCGCCCCGCCCCGCCCTGGGCGCGAAGTCCCGACGCTGGGGACCTCCGACTGGGCCTGGACGCCTCTGGCCTCCATCGCGCCCCTCGAAACACAAAACACGCCAGTGCAGAGCCCTCCGGCCCCACCCTGGCTTGCTCCAGCTTCTGCGTCATCCAGGATTAACCTATGGGTCATCACACCCAATTTGCCTTCGTGACACGAAATGGCAGTCTATTAATCTGCCAGTGGCTTTGTACTTTCACGTCACCCCATTTGATCTGTAAGGGAAGGGAACTGCTCACGTGGGCCCAGGGCTCCTCAGGCAAATGTTTCCAGGTTGTAGACTTTCAAATCTTTGAGGCCCTGAAAAAAGGTGCCCTATTTAAAGAGAACGGCTGTACCATTAACTACTTAAAATTAGCCCCTTGACTTTATTTCTACATCAGAATTTAGCTATAAATTTAAAAAAAGCATTTTACTTCATGAACTAGCACTTTTTTCTGGATGAGTCAAAGATGGGGACAAGTTGGGAAAGAGATGGGGGAAGAATGAGGTAGAGGAGGTCGCAAGGGAGAACGACTGGGCAGGGCCTGAAGTGAGGGTTCAGCA